TATTCAACTTTATTTAGATTGTTAAAAAGCTTAAGTTTTTCATATATTTACTATAAATGAGAGCTTAAATTTGGAGAAAAACTGTGTGAAATGAATACAGTTGTAAATATGCATCAAACTGTGATTTATATTTGAACACCCCTCTGCATGTAAATGTGAGCATCTGTAGATCTGAGAGGCAAAATTCATTTGTAAACAAGTGGAAGCATCTACGGTATACAAGTTACTGTTCTGAATGCTAAGAGCACAGCACTGAGTGAGGAAAAAAAAAAGACATCTTTGCTGAAAACGGCTTATATTCCCTTGGCTATACTACATAAAATGTGTTGAGTGATATCTAGGAGAGACCGAAAGAAGTGGAAAGGAAAGAGAATGAAAAAAGAATTAAGATGTGTTAGGTACATGTTTCAACACCCCATGATGAATGTAATCATTGTGTACTAACATGTACAAACAAATAATTTTAAAAAATTAATGATTAACAGTATAAATGCTACAGAATAATTTTTGTTCAAGTAAAGGCATAAGAAATTAAGTAGATAGTTCATAATGAAGGTATTGTATTTAAAAATTCAATTCTGAGGAGCTGGGGATTTAGCTCAGTGGCAGTGCGCCTGCCTGGCAAGTGCTAGGTCCTGAATTCGATCCTCAGTACCAAAAAAAAAAAATTCAATTCTGAAAAGTATCTTAAAACTTTTTAGAAGTACTGAACACGAGCTTAAATTATTTCTATTTCCTCACAGGAACGTTAAATAAGAATTTGGGAAAATGAAGCCATTGCTTTATTAAAACATATGACTGACTGTAGACTGACCACCAGAGTAACTGGATAGAGTACAGCCATGGTAAGTCAAACAGCATACAGGATCTTTTGTCTTTCAGAAAGGGTAAAATGTATGAAAATTACATATAGCAGTGAGAATAAACATGTTAATCTCCAAAATGTTTATAAAATATAGCTCTAATTTTTAATTTACTGAATTAAGATTCATTACTAAGATTATAAACAAATGGAATCTGAAGAAATTAGTCTTCTTAAGAATCAAATATTAGCCAGGGATTTAGCTCAGTGGTTTTGCCACCTGCTGCGCAAGCACAAGGACCCGAGTTCGATCCCCGGGACCAAAAAAAGAAAAAGAATCAAATATTACATTTCCTCCCTCTCTTCCTTCTTACAGTAAGGCAGTTCACTTGCTCAGTTCTATTTCTTTCCAAGAAAATTTTCAAGTCAAGAGAAAAGTGTTCATCTAAAGTTACAAGTGATGACACTGACCTGACTTCATAACTGTGAGAATCAATCAATGACCAACATAACAAATACTATTAGAAGTAATCAAAACATACACTTCCAGACTCCGAGTCTAAGTAATAAAATATCATGTAAATAATGTTAAAATGGTAACATCCCATTTCCAGAAAAAACCCTTACCAGTCGTTGATTTAACCTTTTATTTTCTTCCTCTTTCAACTGCAATGTCTATAGGTGGAAAAAAAGAGACTTTGGTTAATCCTTCTAAGTACTAAGTACAGAAAGATTGTCAAAAGTTATTTTCAAACTAATGTTTGGTTCTGGTATGAAAAGTTAATGATGATATTATTTCCATGAATCTTTTCCAACTGTTTTAATTATTTATTGTTTTAATGAGAATAATTTGGATACATTTACTTAAGCCAACAACTGTCAAGTTTTCATACCCATTAGCTGTGAAATTTGTAAATATGCAGTAAATATCTGAGATCTATCCCCCATGACTTTGCTGGTAGGTCCCATCTGAGATGAAGAACCTTTATTTACAAGATACATCTCCAGGGCTGGGGACTTAGCTCAGTGGTGCTGCCACCTGCCTTGCAAGCACTAGGTCTGGAGTTTGATCCCCGTACCAAAAAAAAAAAAAAGATACATGTCCAGTTATTCTGAGGTGGTTATCACATAACTCTTTAATAATGAAAGAATAAATGTATCATTCTGACTTTGTATTTTTATCAATTAAGCTTGTAAATAGCAAAAGACATTACTGAAAATCTTAAAGGCTTAACTAGTACTTGAATGAAGAGCTCTCACACTGGCAGTTTTTTCCTCTCACATCAATTCGTCTTTATTAAAAACTACAACTTGTTTCATTACCTTTCGTTGTATTTTTGCTCATTTCTAAAAAAAAAAAGTTTAATACTTTTTGAAATAAATGTGTAAAATTCAAATTTATATTATTTTATAAAAACTACCCACCTTTTGCTCTTATACAGACATCACTCATTGGGAATTTATGAAATAAAAGAGAATTGAAGTATGACTGCTAATTGTTTAGCCAGTAGATCACAAATTACAGGATTAATCAAAACTTTAACTACAAAAATAAATTAACCATAAAAAATAAAGATTTACTTTATAAACACAGAGATGTCCTACATTTTCACAGTAAGATTTAAATGCATTACCAAAGTGAACATATTAAAAGTGTTAAGAAGAGAATTTACTTACTCTTTCTAAGAGCATTATCCTCTGTTTTTCTTCAGAAAGCATATGGACATTTTCCCTGAAAGTGAATGACCAATAGTAAAGTTTTAGTCATTTGAAACTATGAACTTTACATTTCCTTCAGTAAGACTTTGGAAGTTTTAAGTACTACTGCAGATTACTTTAGCAATTTAAGGTCTTGTACTAAGTTCTCAAAAGTATCCTATTTAAGTTAGGACACCTATCAATACGGTCTGTTCTGTGTATCAGACTGAGATTTTCAAACTTTTTTAAATTATGAGCAAAACTTTGTATGTATATGTGTACCTGAGGATATTTTCTTCCACCAATTTTCTTTTCAATGAGTGAACTCATTTTTAACAAATGTACAAGGATATATATATGTACAACCCTGATTATGTTTTTGATACTTTAGTTCTGAATAAATCAATTTCTATCCATCTATCAATAAATTCTAAGTACAGGCCTCAAGATTGACCTATGTGTATCATATAAATACTTACTTGAATTTCCAGACATAAAAACTATTTTTGTTAATATCAGTGTCTTGAATTTTGAGGCTTCCTTTGTGATTTGGCATATGTACATCTTTCTAAATTGTTATACTCGATAAAATGGGATTTTTTTTATTGCTTACTTTTGTTTGTGAGAGAAGATCCTTACATTAACAGTGGGTCTTGAAAATTCAGATTCTATTTTTAATGAATTTTTGATTCAGAAAAATTAATCAAAATCACATTGTAAAGCATGTACAAGTTAACAGCTTGTTTCACCAAACGGTGAAACATTCTCTCTCTAAATGAAATTTCCTTCTTAACTTTTTAGTCTTTTGCTTTTTTTTTTGGTAACCGAGATCGAACTCGGGACTTTGCGCTTGCGAGGCAGGGGGCAGCACCACTGAGCTAAATCCCCTGCAAGTCTTTTGCTTTTGAGCTGTTTACTACTTTTTATTACTTGCCTCGTTTATCTTTTTCTGTCACATTTTATTTGTCTTTCTGTATCATTTTGTTTTACCTGACTCTCCTATATACAGTTTTTGTTTTGAGGTACTGGGGACTGAACCCAGGGGCTCTCAACCACTGAGTTACATCCCTAGCCCTTTTTATTTATTTCGTCATTATTTTGAGAAAAGTCTTGCTCAGGCTGGCCTTGAATTTATAACCCTCCTGAGAAGCTGGGATTAAAGATGTGCCTTGCTGGTGTTGTGTTCTGATAGATTTTTCACATGTCTGGGGTTATTTTTGTCATTTTATGTTCTCTAACACTGTATTTTCTTCACATGCTTATGCCTTCCCTTTTTGAATCGCACTTTACATGGGCTACGGAAAATTAGTAATGTTAAAAACATTCCCTTTCTTCAGTTTTATAACTAACAGAATGCTGCTAATTTAAAAAGTCTTAACATATTCGAAGACATACTTACTGGACAGACATCATGCTTGTTTCCATTGCGGAATCCACTTTTCCCTCATCTGCTGTCTCCAAGGCTGGTCTATCTGCTTCACTTGGGGATCCAGGTGCACAGGCTCCATAAAGTTCTGGGGCTGCAGTTACATACGGTGAAGAAACAAAAGTGCTGCTACGCAACTTACTGACTTCTTCTTCAAGCTTCTTTTTTTCCTCAAGCAAACGAGCTCTATCTTCAGAAAGTGATTCTATCAAATCTGGCAGGGGAAAAACAAATGAAATAATAAAGAAAACTTTCATGAATTTTTTAAATTTGAAAAAGGATTCAAAAATCATATTACAAAACAGTACTAACCTTTATCCCTTTCTTGTTGTTGCATTGTACTCTTCAATTTGTCATTAAGATCATTTATTATGTTTTCTTTTCTCATTTTCTCTCTTGTTAAAACAGTATTGAAATTAGTCTGAAACAACAGAATAGTAATGATTTAAACTATCAACACAGTAGCTAAAGCTAAGAAAATAAATCTGCAAATATTCTTTTCTCTGGTACATTTATATGTGGAGAAGATAGTGTGATTCACAAAGACGTTTTGAGATTTTAAGGAAAGAAGTAAAATATCAACAATTTAAAGACTGCTTACATCACTTTTTGAGTACTCTTTCTGTAGACTTCTTTCGAAGTCTTGACTAACACATTAATATTTGAAAGCTAGTTCTATTCTGTCTCTCTGTCTTTTATTTGGGTATTTACAATGGGCACTGGACTATTTTACTGTCTAGACTTAATACTCCCCAACTTTTATATACTTTCTTACTAAGAAGCTCATGTATCTAGCTGCCTGCATGAGGCTTGTGAGAAAGCCAACAATGTTAACTAATGAGTTGCTTTTATAAAGAAAACAATTTGTTAAAACTTTTGGCTATAAGACTTCATTTAGAAAATCTTACTGGAATATAAAATAGATGAATGATAGAATTGTCTAAACTAATTCCATCTCCTTAGCATTTCCAATCACAAAATTTTTCAACATTTAATTTTTTAAATTCCATGCTGGCCTCAAACTCCTAACCCTCTGCCTCAAACTCCCAGGTGCTGGGATTAATACACTGTGCCAACATGCCTGGCTGCAGTCCAGTTTTAGGAGTTCTTTAGTTTTTGAATCAATGAATAATGGCAATAATGCTGGTGTAATATGGAGATTTAACAGGAAAATAATGTGACATTTTCAGATAAAAATCAAATGCATTAACTATTAACCTCTGGTCAGTAAGCATTCTAGAACAATCCTCAAAAAAGGAACATTTAAAATATGGCTTTGTGTGAAGCCATTTCTGTATTATTTATATACAGCAAAATAGACACTATTTGTAAAAGCACATTATTTTTATGCACTTTGCTATTTCTGGGATATGAAATGGATTCTTAGAATTATTATCATAATTTATAATACATATATTTTTAAAAGTGCTACTTAAGAACTAAGCCAAACTCAAGCCACAAATATAAAGCAAAGTTATATTACCATTCAATATATACTATTGCAAACTGGAAGATACCTTAGAAATCTATCTCTCCTAATGCCAATTTTTATACATATGAAAAAGTTTTAAAATACTAAGAACTCAATGCCTGGCCTGGTGGCACATTCCTTTAATTTTAGCAGTTGGGAGGCCGAGGCAGGAGTATTGGTGCCAACTTCTAGGCCAACCTGAGTTATATACCCTGTCAAAAAAACCAAACAAACAAAAAACCCACCAAAATACAAAACCCTTCAATCAGACAAGTTAGTTTTATACTTGAAACCTTCAGCCACACAAAGGAATTAGCACATGCCTGTTGTTCAGCAATCAAAGATGTTCGAACATTTTGCATTTCTTCATTCTTTCTCTTCTCTTGCTCTTCAAGTTGTTCCAGAAACTTAGCTTTTTCTTCCTGAAGCTTTTCTTGAAGTTCAGCAACTAAGCTTGAAGAATCTTCTCTGGTAGATTCAATGACAGGACTTAAAAATTGAATACAGCATTAAGTTTTTTCTCAAAAATTATAGATGCAATCATAAATATATCAACTATTCTATTAAGGCTGTTTATCTTCTACAAACCTAACACAAGGAGAAAGGTATCTGTGTGAGTTCACTACCTTTCTGACTAAAAAAGTTTCTATCCACATGGCTAAACGTATACTCTATACTACGTAGCTTGAAGCTCCCAGTAGAGCCTAGCAAACAATTATTTGTTTAAAATTACAAAATAAAATACTCCCACCCATACTCACCCAGATTCATAACCCTACTTCCTAAAAGTGGGGGATGAGCTGTGAGGACGGATCCATTCTACACTCATTTCTTTGTACACAGGCATGTGAGGAAGCCCTTTCCCCTAATATTCATCAAAAACAATGTAAACTATTGATTTCATATTCTCCAACCAAACGGGAAAAAAATATTTAGGTTCATATTTCCTTAATTCCAAGTACACCAGACAGTTACTCAGGTAACTGATCATTTGTATTTACTCTTTGATCTATTTGTTCATACCCTCTACCCATTTTTCTGCACTGTGTGCCTTCTTTGTGATTTGTGGGAAGTATTTGACATTGCAGATACAGTTCTATTCTTAATTTATGTCTTGCAAATATTTCCTCCTGGTGGTTGTTCACTTAAGGCTCCTTCTGGCACTTGTACAACTAATGAAGCAATGGAAGGGCTGGGAGAAATGTTGGACTGTGTCCTCCTGTTAGCATTACCCTTGTTCATTCATCATGTTAATGCAAAGATTATGAAAAACAATCAACTAAAAATTTTATGTTCCATTATGAAATTAAAGTTCAAGAAATTATTACTTACTGGTTTTTAATAATATAGAATATCCAGAATTTAATGTAGAGGCTATTTAAACATGTCCATTTTCTAATCTCATACCATTGTAAATACTTGATTTTTTCCATATACGTAACAACCAAAACATACTGTCAGAGAATGTGGAAGCAACCAGAAGAACCCATGAGTCAAACTTCAGAGATTTGCAAATATATAAAACAATGAGAGTCTTAGGATACTCTCTTCACCAAGACTCTGAGAAATGGTGGTGCTCTGCAGGACAGGGAGAGCAGTGGTATTTGAGAGGCCTAATATCCAATGAATTCAACGGGAATGACAGGATTTTGGTGGCAGAGGCCAAACACACAAACACCAGACACGTGCTTGATATAGCTCCATTATAGGCAGCAGAGCCAAAGCAGCAATTGAGTTTGTCTCAGAAAAGCCTCTCAGTGGTTTCTCAAACTTTAATAAAATGGGTTGATTAAAGGCTATTAGATCTGCACAAACAGTAATAAACAGATTTATAATATACAATAGAAATTATGTAAATGAGCTCTTTCAGAATACCAAACTGTTCTGTACTCACCTTTCTTGTGATGGTGAGATATGATACTGTCTACATAATGAGATGCAGTGAGGTAAATGAGGTAGGTATGGTGATGTAGCATCAAGCTACTACTGACCTTCTGATGAAACATCAGAAGGATCATTGAGCTACAATGATACCAGCTGATGACAAGTAAGTGAAACCGTGGCTGAGGGAGCAACTATTCTATTTACAAAGCAAGCGGTAGTTGGATTCCCACAGAATCCAGTTTGTCAATCCCTGGTATAGATTTTAAGAACCAGTTTGCTTCTGCCTATACAGGTAGCAATATTCTTTCACTATCTCACCTTGGGATTATATTTCAGTCCTGGTAAAATCTAGTTAGCAGGATTTTTTTTCCCCCCTTGAATCTGGCCTCAAATATTGGGAGGCTGATCTTGTATGGCAGTTCTCTTAGCAATTTAGGTATCATCAAAAATGCCTGACTCTAATGAACAATCATTGCTTATTCTTGATTATCTTGGAAGATCACTGAAATTAATAGAGAGAAGCATTCTTTTTCCCTAAAATATAATTCAGAGTGAAAAATCTAGTTGGAAGATTCCACAGGTCATTGCATTGATCTAATATATTAAAAATATGTTGCATGGTCCTACTAAACAGGAAACAGCACCTACCTAAACTACCTGAGCAATACACACGCATGCCAGAGTGGACAGTGAAGCCCATGAAAATTCAGGGAGCTCCATACAGTAAGATTTTTAAGAGAGCAGTGGTCCAGAACATATGGACAAATTCTTAACACATCAAGTCATGAAGAGTAAGCATAGAAATATTCCTTTATCAAGTAGGTCTTACATATGCAACATCAACTTCAAATCCTAAAGGTACACGGAAGGCACAGAAGCTTCACATTCCTGCTATATGGCTTGCCTTCTGCACCTGTAACTATGGGATTCACTATGAGGGGTTACTGTTGGCAGGCCTGGTTCCTGTCATGCTGCCATTCTTCCAAAGCTAAAGGGAGGAGGATCAGAGCCAACTGATGGATGGCCCTGAAGAATGGGAGGGAGCAAAGGGAAATTTTCCCAGGGGCACAGTGGCAATATATCAGGTAGAACACTTGAAGTCACTTAAAATGGGAAAAGCCCATGGGTACAGACCTACAATGATTCATGCAAACTGGGTTAAAGGTTTGCCTGGATAGTGAAGAAAGAAGTTAGACTAAAATCTGGCGACAAGAAATTTGTGGAAGAATATGGATGTATCAAAATGAGGTTAAAATGTGAAGACCTTTAAATCCTCTGACGATATTATATCCCACTGCAAGGAAACTGTTACTAATCACAAGGGCAAACTGAGTGTTTCAATGGACACCATTACCTTTGCTCCAGTGATACCCATCTCTGTTCCAAAGACTCTTGAAAAAGCACTGCTGGAAGCATAACATCATTTTACTCACCAAGCAGCAGACACTGTGCTCCCCATATTACAGTGTTTCCTAGCAGGCCACCTGATGGCAGGGTTGCCCTGGATTGCAACCATTATGTAAGGAAGAATAATCTGTCTTCACAAGGCCAAGTGTTCTTCACCTGGATCACACTATTTCTGCCAAAACCACCATTCCTTAATTCAAAAACTGCTGTATTCACTAGAATTGCTTCTGAACAAAGGAATTTTAGAGAAAGATGTGTACACATGACCTCATGCCTATGGAAGTCACTGGTCTTGCTACACATATGCCAACTCTAAAAACAGTTGGTCCAATAAATTGTGGACCAATCTACTCACAGCACCAGATGAGTGACATTTCACAAACCGGGGTAATAACCAAATGTCGTACATGCTCTGAACCAGAAAGCGCTATGTGATACCAATTCCCCCCTAATCTGGATAGACTGGAGAAATAGAAATGAAAATTGGAATCACTAATTCACTAATAAACTGTGAGTAAAAATTATAATTTGGGCCTATGCTGGGTAGAAAGATGATTTAGTTCCACAAAAAAGAATTCCTTAACCAGTAGACACAAGCAGGATCTAACTTGAAAAGAAAGAAGCTTATACTATCATTTGGCCACTTGAGGCTCCTTATGATATTGCAGCAACAGGGAAAAAAAGTGTAAAGCTGCCATAGTGATGACTGAACTTCATTATCAACATGAAATAGGTTGCTTCTATACAATGAAGGCAAAAAGGAACAGTAATGGAATCCCAAGGGATTTTCTTGGCACCGGCCATGGCACTGAAAAATAAATCAATAAAAGCTACAGCAACTAAATTAATGGCAGTCTGTTTAGAAACAGATTTAAATCATGTGGATCAGGCAATAAACTAAAATCAGTTGAGGCACTGGCTAAGGTAATAAATAAAGTGAGTAATGAAAGGAAGCTGCATATACCTAGTAGAGTTACAAGGATGGTTAGAGAAATAAAATCTATTAACTAAGCTGTATATATAACCCAATTTTTATCCTTATCTCTATCTTCCATTCCCCTACTTGTAAATTAAGGTATAATGGTAGTTAACTCTATATTTTATCATTTAAATTACAGAGTATCTAAGAGATTGTGACAGACAAGAACAGAAAATGAATATCAAGTGTTCACCCTAGATATGACATTAGTTTAGGTTGTACCTTTTGAAGAGCTGGTAAGGATATCTGAGGTTGTATGAGAGGCATAACTTGCATCACGTCAAACAAAAATGTCATTGAAGTTTCTTTATTTAGAAGTTCAATAGGAGCAAAAGAAATGTCTAACTGCTGACTTTAAAAGAGGGTAACCAGCGCTGGACTATACTGTGCCCTCAGTATTCCCTTCATCCCCTCTGTGATCTCATACACACTGTAATACAGAGTCTGCATTTCCCAGAATCCCCTGTATAGCTTCAAGTCTGCCATGAAAAGAACACCTTTTTGGTGTTTGGAAGGTAGAAGAGAAGCCCAGGCTCATTCTCCAGAGATGGTTGTAGCCAGATGTAGTCTCATAGTAGCTTCCTGAAAAGTAACAGAACTACTCATTTTGTGCTGCAGATTAAGCCAGACCATTGGTGCTTTGAAGAGATTCTTGAATGTTGGAGCAGCTTCCCAAGTGAGACAGGAAGAACCATCAGCTCTGATGAGTGCTTCAGTGTAATTTCCTGATTTCACTTAGAGCTTGATAGACTCTCTCCAAATAAACTTTAATCAGGCTCTTCTAGGCCTCTAGGCTTTGACCTTGGCATGTGTTCTTGTTGGGCCTGCATTATCCATTTGTAGCAAGAAGCTTAGTAAGGCACTTTAGAGAGAACTCCCCACCCTTGATTTTTGATGGCTTTCAAAATTTGATCAAATTCCTTAGTCCACACTCTTGACATCTTATCAACCTGGCTTGCGTTCAGCAAGAATCCTTTTAGGCCAGACTCCCCTTTACTCCAGGTGTTTCCTGAGACTTAAATGTCCATCTACTGTACTCTACCCTGCTGCTGGGCTACAAACTGCAGTTTGTCCATCCTGTATTCAGAATTGATCTCAGTTCTATACTGAGGACTTTTTTTCCCCTACTGCAATAGTTCCTGAATATAATCTGTTCTTACCACTTTAACTACTGTCCAGTTCTGGTGCTCTGGCAAGCTTTCCTTAGTAATGGCTCCATTGATCTTTGTTTTCTCATCTCTGTAAACATTCATGCAAGCCCTAAATCTGTTAAATCTTCTAATTCCCCCTACAATACACAAGAGCTATTTTCAAACCAGAAGGAAAAGTTTTAACTGTGTATCAATATATAAGTATTACATAGCAGACAGAGACCACTTAGAAGAGGTAAGGCAAGAAACGGGTTAAAATATACAATATACATACCCCTACAAATATATTCACTTTGAGAATTAATGATAGAATAAATGATACCTTATGCTCCAGAAACTATTTATTGGGCTACAAAATCCTGTCACAAACTTTTAAAGACTACCTTCTGTGATTAAGGGGATTAACAGTAAGACAATAACAATGATAAAAATTTAAAAACAAGCAAACAAAAAACCTCAGCCCACAACCATAGTATCAAACCTGGAGAGTATCTTTTCAATCACAGAGAAAATAACTGAAATTGTATATAAAGTAATAATAATGAGAACATTGTACATATTCCCTATCTATGATTTAGCCTTTGCTAAACAATGCTCAGAGGAAACTTTTATACTTTTTCATATATAAATACAAACAAAATACAAAAAGAACAAAAGCAAATAATTTTTAAGTAATGAATTTAGAAACTGAATCAAAGCAATCAATTTAAAATGGAAAAAGTACTGTATCTCAAAACATTTTCAATTTTCCAAAAAGTCATTGTCTCTGAAAATCCAAAAAAACAGATTTTTTTAAAGAAACTAATGAATTTAAATAGTCTAACATTTTTATGTTTACAGGAAACACTATTTAAAAAGTAACATGTTTACTTCATGAAAATATTGACTGCTACATTTACCAAAACTACATGAGTAAATCAAAGTACTATGACTACACGCACACACCTGAATCACTGATATTTTCATTTTATAATTACAGACTAAAGTTAATTCTTACCTTTTTGCTATTTGATTTTCAAGATGTTTAATTTTTTCTAATAACTCTTTCTCAACAACTTCTCTCTCCAATTTAAATTCTTTTAGGGCAGTCTGAATAGCTTCATCTTTTTCACAATTAAGGTTCTGAATTAACTGTTCTCTCTCTTGCTCATGGCTCATAACCAATTTCTCCGTGTCTTTCTCAAAGTTCTGTATAATTGCTTCATATTTCTCTTCTTGTTGGGTGATTTTTTCATCTTTTTGTTTTTCAAGAACACACAATTCTGAATCCAATTTATTCTGCAGTTCAACTATTTGTTCTTTTAAGTTTTTTTCTATTTCAAATGCTTGGTGATGCAAAGATGCTACTCTGTCTAATTCAGCTTTAAGTATGCCGGATTCTTCTTCGTGTCTACTAATTAACTCTGAAATGCACTGATCCTTTTCAATGGTCATTAAAGTTCTTAGCTCTGCTAAGCCCACCTGATAATTTTCATTATTATCGTGAATCTTTTGGTTTAATTGACTTATCTCTGTTCTCAAGTTCTCCGTTTCTTTTTCAAGAAGAGATTTCAATGTTTCTTTCTGCTGCATTCTGCTTTCTTCCAGCAACATTTTTATTTCATCAGTTTCTGCTTCCTTCAATGCAATCTCAACCTCTAACTTACACCTCATGTCTGACAAATCAGAAATCTTGAGTTTTAATTCCTGCAGCTGCTGTTCTTTTTCATGGATAGCTATGGCCTGAGATTCTTGTAGCTGATCAATTCTTTGTTGATTTTCCTGTTTTAATTTCTCCAAAGAAATTGTGTGGTCTGTCATGACTTTCTCAAACTCCTGTGTGTGCCTGACATGCAATGTGTCCTCTAATTCCTTCAGGTGGCTTTGCTCTAAACACTGAAGTTCTGCCCTCAATACCTCGATCTTCTCATCGTTTTCAACATGAAGCTTTTTTAAGTCTTCTAACACAACCTCTCGTGACTGCTTCAGTTCGTTAATTTCGCAATTTTGAGTACGCATTATGTTTTCCATCTCCAACAACTTCTGATCCTTTTCATTCTGCAGGCAGATGACAGCTTCTTTTTCATGTTTAACCAAAGCAAATTCATTATCTTTATTTTGTAATACTTCCTCAAGGTATGCCAAGTCTCCTTTCAATTTTTTAATTTTGTTTTCATTTTCTTCACTCTCCTTAATCAATACATTGATTTTACCTTCATATTCAGTTTTCAAAGACTGTAGTTCTTTTTGATGCTTTTCTTTTAGTGTTATTTCCAGGGAACATTTTACTTTTTCCATAATGCTTCTTATTTCTATCGCTGTACATTTTAAAGAATTTGAGAAGTCACATTGTTCTTTTTGTATAAATGTTTTGAAATGGCAAAGATCTTCCTTAATGGTTTGTATACTGAAATGAGAATCTTGGGCAACAACTCTACATTTTTCCAACTGGACACTCAGAGAAGCATGATCTCCAAAATCCTCTTTACCACATGTATTTGTATCTTGCATACGTCT